TTGGGGACGTACGGGTTCAACTCTCTTTTTTACTTCTGGGAAGGCTGACCAGAAGGTTCCGCCGCCCAGACTTCTTTCCTTTTCTTGGTCTCTTCTTTTTTAGCTGCCTGAGCAGATCGGCTCTCTATCCTGTCGGACCTTTTAGGGTCTGACAAGTGCTTGATGGCGCAGAGTTCCGTCGCCTGTATGTAGGCTTCGGCTTCCATCAACGCCTCTTGGAGAGGTAGCAACCCTTTTTCTAACCAGGCCAAACTTAAAGGTCGACCCGTCCTTCAGACCCTTGAAGAAGTCTGTATAGGCAACTTCGTCAGACAACCCTTGGATCTGAATTCTCATCAAATTGAACCTCTTAACATAGGACCTTAGTTCTTCCTTGTCTCCCTGCTGAATAGCCCCTAAGTTGAGACTTGTATTTTTGGCAAGGATGTTCATGGAGAAGTTGGACGCGAACAGGTATGCTAGCGTCTTGAAGTTGTTGATGCATTCGGCTGGTAGATTGCCAAACCATCGTTGGGCTATGCCCTTCAATGTTGCCGGGAAGCATCGGCACCAGGCGATGTCATCTAACCCCTGTAAGTACATGAGGTTGGTGTAAGCCATTAGGTGGTCTTCCGGGTTGGTGGTACCGTCATAGGTACCAATCAACACATTCTTAGCCTTGGCCGGCTGAGCCGCCTCGGTTATCTCCTTGGAGAACGCCGACGGCTGTTCCCCAAGGTTTAGCAGCCGGAGCTGCTAGCCCATGGCTGGACCTGCTGTGCCGCCTGACCCCCAAAGAGGGCCGGTTGCATGTATGGTGATCCATACGACATGTTTGGCTGTTGGGGCACATACGGAGCCGGCTGGATAATCTGAGGGCCAGTACGTGCGGACATGCCGCGTGACTGACTCTCTCGGTTTGTCTCCGAATACTTCATTGAAGTATTACGGAAAATGTCTGGGTAAGTCGACGTTAAGGCCGACTCAGACATTTGTTGACTTCTCTTCTCCTAGATGAACATACGGGCGCCCGAGTAAGTCTTTTTTGACCCATCCGGTTGAACTTGCCGGATGGCCTTCCTTTGCCCTAATTCAGGGAAACGAAGTCTGGATAGGTCGATCAGGGGCCTATCTGCCCCCTTTGGTTTAGGGTGAGGGGTTGGCACCCGATCTTTGATATGATTCTTCCCGGAGGGAGAAGGCTTCTTAGCCGACTAATCCTTACTGGAGCCAGTTGACTTCTTTATTATGTCCTTGATCTCCCCTTTGAAACTTGTCATGAATTTCCTGAGTTCGTCTTTGGTGACGGGGGCAGTTTCGTCTGCCGCCTGGGGTTGCCCAGCCGGCTTGCCGGTTGGGTTGCTGAGATCAGCTTTGTCTTCGCCCCGTTCCCTTGTTTCCTTGGAACGGGTGCGTCTAGTTTGGAATGACCCGTCTGGGGCCACGTTGGTGCTGATCTCATAGTCGTCACCACTATCTTGGTCCGTGTGGACCTCGGTCTCGGCCATAGGTCGCTTGCCCTCACCAGGCGGTATAGAGTGGGATGCCATCTCGGAAGTACTCTCCCCACATACGGCGCCAAATGTTTTGGGGTTTTCGGAGTCCCTCAGGAGAGTCACAACACCGAGAATGCGCGTCGACCGTCTATACTTGCAAAACCACGGAAACTCCAGTTGGGTGGAGTTCCACCTACGACGATCAAGTTAGAATGTTTCCGGATGTAATATAATGCAGAATGTAAAGGGTTTTCTCTCTAATTCAGAGAGAATTCTGCAATTAATATTGCTCGATTTTTGTGTTTTTATTTATGAATGTGTAATAAATGAGGATTTTTCTCTATTTATAGTGGAAGAGGATCAGTTCCCCTTTTAGGGTTAAGGTGCCACGTGTCAGCAGAGGATTGAATCCCGTTGGGCCTCTCTGAGGCTGACACGTGTCAACATGCCATTGGGCCACGTGGCAACGGGTTATTTTACCCTTAACACTTAGAGTCCACCATCATGTTATCCTTGGCTCCTCTTGTCTTCCTTTTTTCTTTGCCTTCTCTTTCAACGAATAGTTATAACCCAAAACCGGTGTTGGGTGATTACACTCTCTCCTGGGATGATCTTGTAATTTAAGTAACTTTGTCTATTCGTGCTCTTGGTGAGCAAGAAGTTTATTTGTGTTGCATTTTCTCCACTCCGGAAAGTTATCAAGTGTGAATCCCGTTTCTTAAATCAAGTATTAGCCAAAATTAAATCATATGACGAGGTAAAATTCATAATAGCCTCACCACCTGCATCCCTTTGTCCATACCTAAAGCCTCCATGAACACTCTCAAAGCCATCTTGGCTCACCCCAACATGCCCATTGAATATTGTAATTAAATAACACTTTGTACAATCTTTTAGAAAGTTTCGTGTTATTCTTTTTAGACAAATGTAAAGTTAAACAAGCATATATATATTATGGGACAGAAGGAGTATAATTCCATCTACATATTAATTTCTTATTTCACTCTATAAATATTAAAAGATAAGAGACACAAGCACATTGCGTGAGCAATATAAGAAATCTATATGGATCGATTTTTTTTATTTATTATTTTTTTCTGAAATATTATCTACATTATTCTAATAGAAAAAATATTAGTGGGTTTAAAATTGATAGATGAAGTCATGGAGGCTAATAGTAGGATGTGACTTCCCTACAAATAAAAAATTACTCGTAAAAAGGATGGCAGTTTTTTAATTTTTATTTTTTTATTTTAAAGATGGTAGTTATTTTTTTTTTTTTTTTTTTAAATGATAGTTTTTTTTTTCTAAAGAAATTAAAGATTAGGGGTGTTTTGAAAAGGTAAAATTTATCACCCAAAACCCCCTTTCACTCTTTATATTACTATAGATAACTAATACAAGTATAAGTACTTTCTACGGAGTTTCACATTGGAAATATCATAAATATAATTGTGTCACCAATCTCCATCATGTTGTAACATACTCCCACCATTTTTGTAAGTTTACACACCTCTGTTGAACGAATATCAAGAATTGGATCTAAAATTATGAGATATATGAAATTAAAGTATGAAAGTGATACTGTAATTAAAAGGAAAAATACACTTTAATAATCTCATAATTATTGGCGATTTACTTTTAATAATCACAATTAAGATTTATTATCTAATAATCCCAACTATAGGATAAGTTTGCCTCTAGTGATTCCAAACGATCAACACCAATTCAATGACTTGTTATAACAGGTAATCAATCCATGTGTCAGCACGTGATTGGTTTAAAATAAAAGATATATATATATATATATATATATATATATATATATATATATATATATATATATATATATATATATATAAACCAAAAATCATAACAATAACCACCACCACTCCCCCCATCATAAAGACCAGACCCAACGTAGTCCCCAGCCCGCCGACCGTCTCCCCTGACCCTCGAAACGACCAGTGCCCAAACCCCTTTCCCGACCATTCATCCTCTCGCCCTCCATCGTCATTTGACGCGCAGGAAAACCCTCTAATAACCACCCCAAAATCGTAGCCTCGACCCTGAAAAACCCCTACCCATGCCGAAAAACCACCTAACTAGCCAAAAAACCCAACCCCAACCCCAAAAATCCCACCAATAGCCCTAAAAACCCCCCTACCCATGCCAAAAAGTCGAAAATGGGAAAGAAAATTACTAGTTCTTTAATTTAACGCGGTGGAGTTTTGGGGATTGAGAAGGTCAGACGGTGAGTTTCGGGAGTGGGAAGGAATGACCGGCCGTTGTCAGGTGGTTAGGGAGGTGGGAGGTTGTCGACCGACTGATTTTCGATGGGTTGGGCTGGGGTTAGCTTAGGGTTTAACGGTTGGGGAAGTGGAGGGGGTGGCTGACTGGCTGGAAATGGTTTTTGTTTTTTCTCTCTTTCTTTTTTTTTTAATTTTTTTTAATATTACACCTACCACGTGCTAACATGTGACTTTTAAAAAATTAAAAATTAAAATCTACCCTTTCAGTGGGTTACGGGTCATTGAGACCACTTGAGGCAAACTAACCCCATAGTTGTGATTATTAGATAATAAACCTTAATTGCCAATAGTTGGGATTATTAAAGTGTATTTTTCCTAATTAAAAAGGGTAGCGTTAGTTACATGTAACCCTGGAGATACAAATAAGCATTAAATATCTTTTTTTTTATTTGATACTTCATTCAAAAATGCATTACAAAATCACGTGCGAATTAAATTAGTGTTATTGATGAATATATTTATTAATACTTTCTCTACTAGTTTCTTATACATTTAAAAATATTACTCAGTTGTGAGAATAAAATGGGGTCCTATTTCTAAAAATAATACGGAGTACAGAGTACTTATAAGTTGTTAGTGATCAAATTTCTGTAAAAAAAATCCATAAAAGAAACGTGGATAAATTAAAATAGAACAAAGAGAGTATTTAGAACATATGAAGAATAGTACTTCGTAATACTTTCCATACACATTTATAAATAATAATGAGAAAATACAAGTTGATCTCTAAGCACAAATCCTTATATGTGGCTAGTCACATCGTGTGACCAACCATCATGGGGGTTACTTTGTAACTGTTATAGGGGTAACTTGGTTAGTGTTACATGGGTTACTTCGTCAGGGTTAATGGGGTTACTCGGTGAGTATTACAAAAGTTACTCATAGTGTTATAGAGTTATTTTGTTCTTTTACAAGCGGTCATACGGTGTGGCTAGCCGCACATAAGACGTGCTGATCTCTGAGATAGTAAACTATTTTGTTTATAACTGTATATTTTCGTAATAAATTATGAATTTTATTTTTCCTTAAAAAACAGGGTCCGTGGTGATGATGATTGGATAAAGTTGTTTATTTACTTACCATAATGACACGTGATAAACAATAATTGTTTATTACATAGATTAACCTCGACTTCCTCGGATCTATAACAATAATGAAATGTACTTCGAATTAAACAAAATATTGCAAAGTGAAGTTGAAGTTGAAGTTTTACCAATAAGTGCGGAGCTAATGGAACTAGCTGGGTCACTCTCACTCCCATTAGAGCTCATTGCTTCTCCTAGTCTTGTTCTAACTCGGCTTTGCAAGATGATAATACCAAACTTTGTTTTGATAATGGAAGCTCAACAATTTGCAAGATGAGTTGAAAATTGATCGTAATTCAACAATGTAACAGATCAGATCAGTCTTATTTATATACTTAGTTTGAAGTATATAGTATGTTTAAGTCTACGGTTTTGTTAACTTGACAAAACCATTACATATTCTTCACAGTTTGAATGAATCAAACAGCCACATCATACGCGTCTTCTTGATTTTAATTTGACTAGTTGGAGTGAATAGGAAAAGAAGCAGACGTTTTTGACTAGTTTGAGTGAATAGGAAAAGAAGCAGACGTAAGTTCATCTTTCGACGCAAGTTTGAAGGGGGTGTTAGAAAATTATTCTGTAAATATTTTTAGAAGTTAGAATATTTACGGTATCGTATCAATTACTCCTTGATCTCAGGAGCAATTATAGGAAGCAGCTTTAGGCAACTGTTATGTATTTATATACTTGTAATCGGATCTTCAAAGTAATACAACCAGAAATTAAAAACCAATTAAAGACAGTCTTCAATCTTTAGTTGGGGGTACACCGTACACTGCTCAATCCGCTACCACACAAATCAACTCTAGAAAAATGAGATATTTGGCAACCTCTAGCCTGTGAACTTGTGAGTTGCCAAATTCTATTTTGACGCAGGTCGTTTTCAGGCATTTTTTTTCAATGTAATTTTGTCAAGTTGTGGTAGTACAGACTATAGAGTAAAGGTGAGGCCCGTGAGGGTGAGTTTTCAGGGAGTTTGGAGACGAGTGTTCAGCAAAACTCCAGCAATATTGTTTGGAAAGACTACCAGTAGTCTTGATTCTTGAATGGAGTTTTGGATATCAAAACCCACTTGAAGATGACAATACAAAAGTCCAAAATTTATTGCATTTTTTGTTGGCAAAATTGGCCGCAACACCCCAAAATATGGCTTAGTACCCTGAACTATGTGTAGTAGCCAAAACACCACCAACTATGGTGTTAGGTGCGATGCATGCCTTAAATGAAAATTTCCGGCCACCTATTTCATCGGAAGAGGTGAATCCATGTGTGCTAAGTGGATGGAAGACTACATAACTGTTCTAGAGAGTGAAGATTCACCTCCTCCCGATAAAGTAAGTTGCCGAAAATTTTCATTTATGGCATGCATAAGATGCGTTGCACCTAACACCATCGTTGGTGGTGTTTTGGCTACTACGCAAACTTCAGGGTGCTCAGTGCACCTAAGCCATACTTCAGGGTGTTGCGGCAAATTTTGCCTATTAAGAGGTGCCACCTAAGATGGGAAAGTATTAGTCTAAATAGATAAAAAAAAAGATGTATCAGAGTCTAGAGTATAATTTTTTGTTAGGGATAAACTTAGGCCCCATTCACTTCACCTTATTTTTGTTGAACTTAAATTAATTTTACTAAACATAAATTATTTTGGCTGAACTTAAATTATTTTTATTGAACTGAAATTAGTTTTACTGATTCTCTATTATATTTCTTCTTTAGAATTAATGATTTTTGCTGAACTAAAATTATTTTTACTGAACTAAACTTATTTTTGATAAAATGAAATTATTTTTAGTAAACCGAAATTATTTTACTGAATATTTTTTTTAAGGTAAATTGAATAGGGCCTGACTCTATTAGTAGTAATTAAAGGTGCCTTAGAGCCGTTGTCTAGCCTTAGCCAAGCACTAAAGGGTTAAGTTTAAATTTTGAAAAGTAAAACACAAGCACAGTGTAGGCACCTGATTATGTCTCCCCAAAAACCAAACCCAGTGATGAGTACCTTTCACGTCTTTGATTATCGAGTTAGGTGAAGATTTGAAGAGTATCGTGAATTTTCCTAAGTGTTTTCCCATTTCCAACCCTTCTTTAAATGTTTTAATCCAAAACCATTCATTTCATGTCCTTAAAGTCATTTATTTCGTGTTCTTTTTATGAAAATATCCAAACTAATTATTTTGGTCCATAATCCGGGTCCAATAACTGTGTAGATGGATGGAATTTGAAAAGAGCTTTCCAACGATATATTATAAGCCCAAATCCGAGTTATAACGAGGAAGTTATGGCTAAAATACTAAACTGGAACCAAATCGAGCCTTACCTACAGACCCAATGATCATGTGGTGTTAACTTTAATTTCATTCCTAAACCCATTAGGATTTATTACAAGCTTCAAGAATTGTCTAGAAGGTTGTTTTGAGTCCCAAATCCCTTAGGATTTATTATTGGCTTCTAGAATCCTCTAGAAGGTTCTAGTTTATCCTGTTTTTGAAAAGATAATGATCAAGAAATTTATTTTGGATAAAACATGTGTTTTTCAAAGGTTTTAATTCTGATAAAATTAGAATACATACGGAAACGCGGCTAACCCAATTTGTTTGGAAGTCGCAATTGATTTAGAATGAGTGGATGAGACTTGAAACGTTCTAGATAATTCATTGTGCGTAATTTTAATTAGCATTGTGACATAAGCATAAAAAGGTCTGTATTTGGAAAGACCATCCGTAATGCGTAAAAAACATAGTAATTTTACACATAGAAAAATTGGAAAATATCTTTCACAACTAGAATCGAAAAGATACTACGAAAAATCGGAAAATTCTGATAACACCAAAAGTTGCCGCGAAGTGTAGGAACTTCCGCTAGACGACAGTGTCCATCGCCATGCGATGGCTCCATTGCGACGCGATGGGGTCATCGCTGTGCGATGGACCTTGTTTTCTCGCGCCGAGTTCTTCCAACATCGAGCCATAAATCTACCTTCTTGTTTTGACCAATTATAGTACTGTCTCGTCGATTTTACTTCCTGATTGAGTTTTTCCTTCTTTTCTGAAACCCATATGTGTTCTACATATGTCTTTAACCCTTGGGAATTCACGCTCCATCTACCCAATCGAACGCTCCGTGCAACGATAGGTACATCCGAGTTTGTGAATTCACCAAACCATGGAAGCAAGTCTAACTTGCGAGGTCCCATCCATACGTGCCAACCCTTCCAAAGGTAAGGCTTCCGCGCGATGCATCTGGACTCATAACCATGGATCCTCTTTGACTACCATAATCCTTGAACTTTAGAGAACTAGAGCCATGGTTAGATTGCAAACTCATTGCATCATGTTGTGCTTACTTGACTGCTTGTGCATCTCTTAATTGTGCATACCTATTTGTGATTAAACTAACCGTTTGTGTTGACTTATATTTGTAATTAAGTCTTAACAAACTAATTAATGACTAAAAGGACTTTGCTTAATTAATTAATTAATTTGGATTAATAAATTCTAAATATACTTGACTTAGCAAGACTATAGGCTTACCTTTTTGAAAGAATTACCGAAAATAAATTAAACTGACGTTCCAATCATGGCGCGAAAGTTTGGTTTGTCCCGCAGAACCGTAGTTCCGTCACGACACGATATTTATATCGCGCTACGATGGAGCCATCACTATGTGATAGTTCCATCATTTTGCGATGGTTCAGTTTTTCCTTTCCAAGTCGTCGTGTCGAGTCTAATTCACATGATTAATTATTAATAACCGAGGTCCTAACTTGGTCTTTGTTGAATCTAATCACATAATCCTATGGTCATTACACGAGTCTTAAGCATCTCACTTCTACTCACTAGTCAATGCACACACTTTGTTTATGTTTTTCACTATGACCATGTCTAGAGTCTTGTTTGCATTTTTCGTCATTTGTTTTAGGGGGGTAAGTCGGATATTATCCTCCCAACATAAACCATGTTGCTTGAAACTTGATTTGATCCCCATACTTGATCCCAAAATATGCACCCATTTTTTTCTTTCTCAAACCAATAAAAAATGAGAGTCAATTCGAGTTAAATCATTAAAAGAGTCAATGGTTTAATTTTACAGCACTTGGTCAAGAAGAGAAGGGCCTTAATTAAGGACAACACCTTCATTCAAGTACTACTTTTTAATAGGCCGGTTCGACAAAGAAGAAGGTTTAGAATAATGGCCAGTCAAGAAGAAGTTGCACAACATAAGCAAACTGTCAATGGACTCGCTGAAATGCTTAAGGGGCTCACTACTCAAGTTAACGACCCTAGCAAGCAAGTACCAGCCGAGACCATCAAACGTATAGAAGAAAGCTTGAGTCAAATGTCTAATGACCACAAGTACCATGGTATTAGCTCCAAAGTGGTCTTAGTGGATAAGGAACTTCTTCCGCAAAAGCTCCCTGCCAATGACATCCCTAAGTTCGAGCCAACTGACAATCCTTACTTTCACTTAAGAGCTTTTGAAACAATAATTGACATTAAGGGAATTGATAGGAGAGTTTTCCCTTCACTTTTTCCGCTTTCTCTTGAAACAGTATGTCAGCAATGGTTCTTCTCTGTAGACAAATAGAAGATTGCTACTTGGGAATCTATTACACATGCTTTTATTGATAGATACAAATTTAATATTCAAGTAGAAACTGATCATAGGGAACTTAAAATACTTAAACAGAAAGAAAATGAAGGATTTACTACTTTCTATAATAAGTGGAGGGAAACTTCCGCTAGAATGATCGAAGTTCCAAGTGAGAAAGAATCTGTAAGGATATTCATTAAGAACCTCCAAGAAAATTATCAAAAGCATTTGAAATATCAATGCAACTTAAACACTTTCAAAGCTGTCTATAACATAGGCATTAAAATTGAAGATGATCTCGCAAAACAGAAAGCTGCTAACAATAACAACAACAATGGCTGAAAAGGAAAGAAGAACAACAATCCTTCTTCTTCCAAATCCACCCATTCTAGTAACAACATTAGCACCTTCAATTTAAATGATGTCCTCGCCATTAATAGCTAAGGACAAAAGAAGTAGTTTAGGAGAGACTTTACTCCTATTGGGATGAGCTATGATACTGCTTTTGACCGTCTTCATGCCAAATGACTCATTACTTCTATTGGACCTATGCAAGATCTACCAGTTGAAAGGAGAACAGCTAGTTGGAATCCGAATGCACACTAAAAGTATCACCAAGGTAGGGGCCATTCTGTTGAGAGTTGCTAGAAATTAAAAGAAGCTATCCAAAATCTGATTGATAACAACAAACTCCTAGTACCTCCTGCTAGTAAGAAGCCAATCATCAATAACTCTCAACTCCCAGTGCCTCCTGCTAGTAAGAAGCCAATCATTAATAACTCCACTTTCGGATTCCTTAGCAATTTCTGACGAACAAGATCCTATGGATCCATCACTCCTTATCAAGCCAATAGAAGAGGTTCATGCCATTGAAGAGGAACAAGAGACTTTCTTTGATGCCATGAGCGACTTTCAGGAAGAAGCTAAGCCCTTAACTATTAGTGAACATGCTGCCACTAGAGGAGAAGTGTGTTCCCTTATTAACACATTAGAAGAGATAAGGCTTGAACTTTAAGCTATTCGCAGAAAACCAGAGAAAGCTGAAAATAAGCATGCTCTTGAAAAAGAGAACCATACTTCTTCTTCAAACACCGTTGAGAGAAAACCATTCACTTTCAACGTTGTTACACCACCAATGAAGATGAATGACAAGGTTTATACACCTATTGGTATCTCTTATGAGAGGATGTTCAACATGCTTTTCGAAATGGGAAAAATTAAACCTCTCGAGCCAAGACCATTTGAATCCCTCAAAAGAACAGACAAGTTTTACTGCAAATACCATCAATCTGGAGGGCACACAACAGAAAATTGTTTCAAATTTAAAGATCTTATTTAAGGATTCATAGATAGTGGCAAACTTATACCAACAATAAGGGATATTTTGGATAAAGATGTCAGTATTAATGGGGTTTGGGACAGTGATGATGAGGATGTCTACCTCAAAGATATGGAAGAACCACCACTTGCTGCACTTTACCCAGTTGATGATATTTGGGACAAAGATGAAGAATCCCCAATTATTATGC